CCCTGAAGGTCAACGAGTTTGACCAGAAGAAGGCCGCCGCGGCGATCGGCAGCGACAGCAGGCCGCTCAACAGGTGCGCGTTGTGTTCCTTTGTGAATTGTTTGCGTTCTTTGGGTGCTTGTCCCGTCTCAAAAGTGGAGAGTGCGGGGATTTGCCTCCAGGCTTGATGAGAGGAGTGCGGTTGACGAGAAGAGGCGTGCCGGCAGCTGTGTACGCTGAGTGTGTTGACGTTGCCAGTGTCCGCAGGCGTGCTTTTATTGATATGCTTGGCGCCGTTCCCCCCCCCCCTCTCCCGTTGCCCCGCCGCCTCGTCCCGCTCTGCCCAAGCTCACATGTGTCTGCAAAGGCCTGTGCGGGCCGGGTTTCTTGACCGATATGAAACCCAACCTTGTCGCCCCGACCTTCCCACTCCGATCTTCTCACCCCAGGACCAACGTCGAGAAGTTCCTGGCGGACTTTGGACTGGAGTCCGAGTTCTCGTGCCACTCCAACATCCGCGGCCTGTCCGGTGGGGCCCATCAACGCGCACACCGCACACACCGCACACACGACGGCCGTCGCTGGGCCACCCCGGGGTGCCCGTGCCGCCAGGGCCGGTGGCAGGGGCCCCGCCCGTACCCGCGGCCGACGTCGTCTCGCCCTTTGTCATGTGCTTTTTGCTGATGTCACATGTTGCCTGCACGCCTGGAAGCGGCCTCATCCTGTCGTCTCATGCCGGCCGCGCTGCCCCCCATCACACAAGCCCATCAAGGCCCTATCCCCTGGATTGCGCTGCCAAACACCCAGCCTCCAACCAAGCCTGTGGCAAACAGTGTCCAACGCTGTGCTGTTGTTTGCACCTTACTAATCCTGTTTGTCGCGTGACTAATCTTACTCAACCCCACCCCCAGGTGGCCAAAAAGTGAAGCTGGTGCTGGCAGCGGCGATGTGGAACAGCCCCCACCTCCTCATCATGGACGAGCCCACCAACTACCTCGACAGGTGAGATCTGACCCCATCTGATCTGATCTGACCTGATCTGATCCACTCTGCTCGCATCTGATCCGCTCTTGCATTCACACACCGTTTTTTTCCGATTGTCGCCCCCCGTGCTTCGCTCTTCTGAAGCAACCGTCATCAGCCCTGCCAGCATCCAGGCTCCGCCTCTGCTGTCCTCAACCCAGGGGACCCCCAGCCCTGGCAAGACTCCGCGTTAGCGCGTTTGCGAACAAATCATGTTTCTCACACCAAGAAAGCACTGCTTGGTCTCCTCCCCCAGGGACTCCCTGGGCGCCCTGGCCACGGCCATCCGCGAGTTTGACGGCGGCGTGGTCCTGATCAGCCACAACAGCGAGTTCACATCCACCTGCTGCCACGAGACCTGGTTCATCAGGGACGGCAAGGTGGGAACTTCACGCGCTCGAAAAATTTCCCGCCGTGAAACAATGGATCCGCGCCGCGGGGCCCTGGGCCCTGGGCCCCGTGCGGCAAGCGTCGCGGTTGCAATTTCACCCCCGGGGCTGCTGGGAGCGTGCGGGGTGATGGCGACGTCCGCCCCGAGATTTGTTGCCGCTCCCAGCCTCCGCTGATTGCAAAAATGCCCCAGCCCCAAGACTCCGCCCCACTCACCCGCTGAACCTTGCCCGATCGTCACTCGTCATCCGTAACCCGTCCGGCGGGTGACGCCACGATGGTGACGTCATACCCCACAGGTGGAGGTGGTGTCTGCCTATGCGACAAAGCTGGAGGAGGCGCGCGCGGCCGCGGCCGCGATGGACGTTGGCGGGGACGCAAACGGCGCCTGAGTTTTGGATGCAGCCGCGCCTGTGGAACCCGGAGGGCCCCTCGCTTTGCGGTGCCGCGCGTGCGGCCGCGGAGGGTGGGGGGCGGCGGGCGGCGGAGGCGGGCCGACAGTGCGGCCCGCCGCGGCGCGGGGCTGCGGGCCGGAGCTCTTTTTTTTTCGCGCTGCCCTGCCTCGTTTTTTGTGCCGCTGCGGGGGCTGCGCAAACTTTCTTGTACACTGGCTGCAGCTTTGTGGTGGGGCGGGGTAGGCCAGGACTGATGCCCCCTAGGGCCGTCCATTTAGGGCCTCCCTTTTTTCGGGCGGGGTGGCAGCCGAGGCCCAGGGGCCCGGCCCGGCCCAGCCTCTGGGGGCTGCCTGTTTTGGGGCCAAAGCTTGCCCTGAGTTGGGGCGGCGCACGCGCCGCCCACCGATCCTCGCTCGCGCCCCTGGCGCCGGTGGCGCGCGCAGGACTGGCAGTGACTCGGTTTTGGCGAGACAGCGCGGCACCACGCGCCTAAGTAGCAGCAGCAGCCGCCGCCACCGCGGCAGCAGCATCGGCGACGGCGGCGGCGGCGGTGGCGGTGCAGCAGCAGTTTGTATCTCACTTTTTCGCGTCGAAGCGCCTGCGCCCCGCCGAGCAGGCGGGGCGTCTGGCCGTTTGCGACGCCTGCGGCTGTAAACTGGTGTGGGGCTGGCAATGCAGGCTTTCCAGGTCCCTTTGGAGTCTCAGTCTCAGCAAATGAACCGCTCTGGGCAGGTGCCCGCCTATCCAGGATGCAGGCTCCCCTCCAGCGCCAGCCTGTCCTGTGATTGCAGCGCTAACACTTTGAGCTTTGAGAGTGGCGAGCCTGCTGGCGCCGTGCCCGCCTGGAGAACAAGTGAAACATGGGGAACTCAACGGTTCCCGCATCCCCTGCGGTTACAAGCACGGCGGTTACAAGCTCTCAACAGCTAGTACCCGCCCCCCGCTGTTTCATGCTCTCATCGGCACGTTGCGGCAGCCGCCACTCCTTGTCGTCGGCCGATTCGAAAGCGTGGCACCACATCGCTGTGGCGGCTGCTCCCCGCCGCCCGCCGCTCCAAACACTGCGCCCCCTCCAAA